GAGCCCCGGTTATGTCTCTGTTCCTGCTTTCTTGCTTTGGCCAGGTGTCTCCTGTCATGGCACAGCCGGCAAAACTATGCATGTGGCCTGGTGCTGCCAGGCTCTTCCCGGTCAGTGTTGTGGGCCCCTGAAGGATCTAGAAGACAGCATTGGGTTGGGGTTGAGATGAGGGCCCAGGGAGGTCTTGACCCCACACGTGAGGGTTTAGGGGTGAAACTAGGCGGGCCTGGTGTGCTGAGGTTGGAAGGGGAGATCCCTCTGTCCTCTCAAAGGTGCTCTCCATCTGGGCCAGATTGGGAATTTAGGAGCAGCAGTCGCCTTTCCTCAAGCACACAGATACCAAGATGCAAAGCCACAGGCACAGCTAAATATATGAGCACATTCACGCGCAGACCCCTAGGGCTATGCAGACCTCAAACACACACACATAGGCTCCTGGACACACACAGGTCTAGCCCTTTGGGCACACCTGCACTTGTGGGCATGGGCATCCAGAGGTAATGTGCACAGACACTGAGTACTAGGGTCATGGGCATGCCTGATCACAGAGGGTTTGTGTGAAGAAACACCCAGTTTGGACCCATGGACAAACATGTACCTATGTAGTCGTACATGTTTATGGGCACACAGGGGTATAAATACACAGAGGCCCAGGCCAATGGGAATCTCTGTAGCCACACATACATGCATATTAGTGCACAAGGTCCCAGAGGTTCAAACATCTGGACACCCAGACTGACTCAGGCTCCTGTGTGCACCTGTTCACTCACACTTGCACATGCATAGGCACTATGCACACATAGACACCGGACATATCAGCCTGAGCCAATGGGCTCTCCTGCACTTATGCACTTACACACAGCATGCATGTGCACTCTGGTGTAAACATGTACTTGTGCAGACACAAATAGGCTATCAGCTGTGGCTATAGTGCTTTGCACATGGAATCTCATGCACCAGCACCCTCTCATGCATATGCACAACTACTCTTCACAAACACCCTTGGAGGGTATAGGTCTCCATGTACCTGCTGAACACATCTCCACCCTAGCATCTCCATGAGAATGTACACTTGAATTTCTGCAGTACACATGTATAACCACATCTGCATCCAAAACAGCAAATCATGAATACATGCACATATATCACATATGTATACACAGAAGCATTGTAAATGTGTACACACATGGGCATGAGCATACTACGCACACACCTTCACATGCTCTGGGATGCACATGTGTGTGCAAACACCTTCGTGTGGGCATTCACACCTATTTATCCTCTGAGCCTCTCATTCACCAACACTGCCTGCCTGGTAATGACTTCACCTCCTGCATCTAGTGGAACTTTCTTTTTATTTTTGGTACTGGGGATTGAACTCAGGACCTTGGGTTTGCGAGGCAGGTGGCGACACCACTGAGCTAAATCCCTGGCCCTCTAGTAGAACTTTCCGCCATGGGTTGTGACCCATGACTCATTTCAGCTTTTTTTTTTGGTAGTGGGGATCGAACTCAGGACCTTGTGCTTCCTAGGGAGGCGTGGCTTCATTAAGCTACATCCCTGACCCCTCATTTCAGCTTTTGCCAGCTCCTGTGTTGTCATCTAGATGGTCTCAGACACTTAAATGTTTTTCTTGGGCTGCCCCTAGGCCTGAGGTTACACCATTATGCCTACTCTTCTGAACCAATCCATGGATGGCTCTAAAACCACATGTTCTGAGGGAGAACCATGAGGCACGAACCAAGTTTGGGTGGAGTATTAGAGGGTGACTCTGGGCAGTTCTGAAAGCTTTCCAAGAGATTATTGCTCAATCTGCAATGTGACTGTAGAACCCGATTGGCACCTAGGGCCTCAGCTTTTGAATTTGTTGAAGTGACAATTCAATTTGTAAGCCCAAACAAAGTGATATCTCAAGCAGCAGCAGTGGTCAGGGTCTCCTGCTTCTTCAGGTGCATCCTTGGCCCCTGGCCTTATTTGTGCAGAAAGCACAGGAGAGGAGCAGGGACAAGCTTCATCTTAACTGCCTTTCTTGCAGACAAAACATTTTTTTGGTAGTGCTGGCGATTGAACCCAGGGCCTCACATATGTTAGGTAAAGTGCTTTATCACTGAGCTACAACCCCAGTCCTTTAAAAAATTTTTTTATATTGAGGGCTGGGGATGTAGCTCAGTGGTTCCAGCACCTGCCTTGCAAGCGCAAAGTCCCAAGTTCGATCCCTGGTACCAAAAAAAATTTGTTTTTAGATTGAGACAGGGACTTGCTAAATTGCCCAGGCTGGCCTTAAACTTATGATCTTCCTGCCTCAGCCTGCTGAGTAGCTGGTATTACAGGTGTGCAGCACCGCACCCAGCTTGTAAAGGAATTCTTTTTTTTTTTTTTTCAAATGAAGAGATCTTTTATTGCCATCATTAAAATATCGCAAATTTATCTTCCAATCCAGAAGCTTGTTTCTGTAGCTGGATAACTCTTGGATCTTATTCATCAGGCTGCTGAACTGTTCCCTTTCCAGAAACATAGATGCCATCCCAAAATTTTCTGCTATCTTTGTTTTGACTGTGGTTGCTTGCTGAATCAAAGCAGCTGAATTTGAAACAAGTTCAATGCCATTTCCTTCAAGGTTTAGTACCTCTTTCTGGGCTTGAGATACTGAGCAAGCAACACCTGCCCTCATACGAACCCGGCAGATGTATTTTTCACCCAAGAAATTCCGGATTTCAACAAGAGACCCATTCTCCTGAATAACTACGTTGATGGGGAAGTGAGCACACACAGACCTCATCTTGTAACAGAAGCCCAGCGTAACATCCTTGATCATGTTCTGTACGTGATTACAGATTCTGTAAACAGTAGCCAGTTCCTTTCTGTTTCCCCACCATTTGTCAACCCTCTTCTTTTTCTTTCCAAGGAGACTGAGTTCTACATTAATGTGGTTGAAGTCCCTCCGCAGGATTCCTCTGGGGCCCTTGTGAAGGAATTCTTTATTGTGTGCAAAGTATCACATGTTTTTAAAAAAGTTACAATTTAAAAAGAATTTACATAGGCTAAATTTCACCCTTTTAGCATACAGTTCTGAGTTTTGAGAAAAATAGTTGGGGAGCCACCAGAACAGTAGCCAGAGGGGTCTTGTCACAATCCATATCAGCTTACTGTCCTCTGTACTGAATAACTTCCATCTCTCTCAGAGGAAAAACTGAAGCCCTCTCCTTGGTCTATAAGGCCCCAAAAGCCTTCTCTGACCTTATCTCCTACCACCAGCCCCCTCATTCATTCTGTTCTAGCCTCAGTGAGCTTACTGTTCCTCAAATGTGTCAGGCATGCTCCTGCCTCAGGGCCTTTGCACAAGATCTCCCTTTTGCCTGCATCACTCCCTTTAGATATGTCTTTCCTGGGTCACACTGAGCAGAGGGCACCCCTGGGGTAGAGAAACTGGAGCAGACACTTCTGAGGTTACTGGCCTGGAGCAAAACCATTTCCAAACACCACAAACTGAGCTGTTTATTTTTCTGGGTCACCTATAAACTGAGCGTGGACATTTCTGTGGTCACACCACTTGCAGTGTTCGCGATCATGGTGCCTCTAATTAGACTGTAGAAACTCCTGCAGCCACAGACTAAGCCATTCCTGCTGCTGAATTCATGAACCTGGGCTCTCAGAGGTTCTTGCATTGAGAGGACAGCTTCAGGGGAGAGGCCCACTCCATGGTCTGGGACCCCAGTGGGGAGCGTCTGGCTGTGCTCATGAAAGGAAACCCGCAGGTTCAGGATGGGAGGCCAGTCATTCTTCTTTTTCATACTAGAAACAGCCCTGTTTTTGAGCTACTTCCCTGTGGTATTATCCAGGGGGAGCCAGGAGCCCAGGCCCAGCTCATCTCTTGCCAACCTTCCTTCAACAAAGGGGCCCTGCTCAGCGTGTGCTGGTCTACAGGCTGAATTGCCCACATCCCTCTGTACTTCGCCAATGCCCAGTTTCTCCGTTTTTGCCCAGTTCTTGGCCGGGACCAAGAGCCTCCAGCTGGAGGTGTAGGCTCTATGCCTGACTTCCCACTGTTTACTCAGACAGCCTCAATCTCTGCCCCTTGGGATCCTCTCCTTGGGCTATCGCCGGCTCGGCCCCACTCCCCTCACATCTAATAATTAAAAAAGTGTTTTCCACTCAACAACAACAAAAAAGATGACATGCAAATTCGCGAAGCGTTCTTTTTTTTTTTTTTTTTTTAAACTGTTGAAGTCACACTGTAATAGGGGCCATTCAGCCTCTGTGGACACCTGGGCCATACATCCCTGGGCTGTGCAGATTCCCGACTAGGGTGTGAATATTCCTGTGGTCACACTGACTTGGAGGAACCACTATGTTGGGGACACTCCTGATTCACATGAAGTGGGGTACCGACACTGCTGGCGTCAGGCATAGTCAGTGTCATCAGACTGAAGTGTGGACACACACTCAAGTTTAAATACTGCTCCCAGAGGTAGAGTGGACACTGTGCGTCACAGACTTGAGGGTGTATACTCTTGGGGTTAGACTGGGGTGCAGCCACTCCTCAAATCACAGCCAGGTAAGGAACACCTGGGGTCATAGACTAGAGAAGGCACGGATAGTCCCTGGGTCACAGAAAACAGGTTCCTAAACATACAGGATTAGCTCCTGTTTGGTAGGTTGTAGTTTCAGGACTGTAGTCAAGGCAGACTTTCTGACATTTAAAGATTTTTTTGATAGGGTCTTTCTATAGTTCAGGCTGGCCTTGAACTTGTGGTGAGCCTTCTGCCTCAGCCTCCTGAGTGCTGGGTTTGGATTAGGTTAGTGCTGAGATTACAGGTGTGCCACCACACCTAATGAGGGGATTGCGTGTGCGTGTGTAGTGCTGGAGATGGAAGCAGGGCCAAGCACATGCTAGACAGGTGTTTTACCGCTGAGCCATTCCCAGCCCATCATTCAGTATTTTAAAAGCACATATGTGCATACATGCACACACACAGGACAATGAAAACCAGTTGTAATTGTACAATTATCTATATTTTATTAAAGAAAATTGGGATGCAGTAATAAAAGGGCTTCTTAAATATATATATATATTTGTTGTACCGGGGATCGAACTCAGGTCCTTGTGCTTGTGAGGCAGGTGGCATAACCAATGAGCTAAATCCCTGGCCCTAAAATATATGTTTTTGAGGCATGGTCTTGCTATGTAGTTCAGGCTGTCCTTGAACTCATCAAGTAGCCTAGGCTACTTGAGGCAATCCTCCCACCTCAGCCTTCTGAGTGCTGGGATTAAACCATGCCTGGCCAAAGGGGCTTAATTAGAATATCAATATGAGATCTGCTCTCACCCAAAATGGTGAGGACTGTGAACAGTATTTCAACATAACAGTAACAGTCTTGTAACATAAAGTGACTTGCTGTAGTGGGAAAATTGCATACTGCTTCTGTTGATTTTTATCAATATCTATAACTGGCAGTAAAGCTAAGTTTCAGTTATATTAGTGAAAATAAAAGTGAAACATTTTCCTCCTTCAAGTTCATGGTTACCTGACATCTATCAGGTGAAGAATCCCTACTTTAGGGAGATATTACAGTCAGGATATCTGAAAGGTTTAGAAGAGGCAAGTCCTTACAAAGCTTACAAAATTCACTATAGTATAGCAGACTTCTGTGCTATTTCTTTCCTGGTTATCCTTGTGGAGTATTAGTTTAGATCTAAAATGGCTCCCAAAGCCTTATGTGTTCGGTAGGTGACGAATTATGGGGAGCACTATAGCTAACTTAAGAGACAGTCTTGTCAGAAGAGGCAGGTCACTGGGAACATGACTAGAAGAGTACATCTCCCTCCCTGGCTGCCAAGAGGTACGGTCTTCTTTTGCAACAGGCCCTTCTACCATGCTGTTTCTGCCCTGGAGCCATACAACTACAGACAAATCTCTAAAAACAGGTGAACCAAAGCTAAACATCTCAATTTGTTGGTGTCAGGCATTGAATCCCAGGAACAATAAAGTGACTAAGGCAGATTTTGGTAACAGGAGTGGGGTCATTGCTGTGATGCTACCTGGCCATGTGGTTTGGAAGCCTTTGGACCTGGTTCTTTGGGGCAGGGGTGTTTAGAAAGGTCTGGTAATGCTAGCTAGAAAAGCCCTAGAATGCTCTAAGCCAAGCTTGATGGGAGATTCTTGTCAAGAGCTCAGAAGACCAGAATGCTGAAAGGCAGATGGCATCAAGACCAGGCTTGGGAAGTTTCAGTTTGGAACAAGGGCTCCATTGGCAATTGGACTTCAGGCCACGTGTGTTACACTGGCAGAATCTTTGTCTACGTTCTGTTCATGTCCTGAGACTTAGTGGGAGACTGAGATTAAAGGTACTGGATTACTAGATCAGGAAAAATTTCAAGGCAGGCCAATGCTGAGGCTGTGTCATGGGTATTGTTGGCAGCCTTTAGCCAGATCTATATTGAGAATCAAGAGCAAACTGAATAGCTGAGTGATTTTAAATTTTGAATGTCACCAAAAAGGAAGTCCCTTGTAAAGTTTTGGCCAAGGAAAGCTTGGTTGCTAAAAAGATTTGCATTAGAAAGCCAAATATTTTACATTAGGACAATAGGAAGGATGCCTTGCAGGCACCTAAGAAATCTGCAAAACCCCACTCCTCTGAGGCTAAAGTTTGTTGAAGAACCTCAGGGCACCATGCTGGAGAAGGGGTACCTAGGGAATTGGTTCCCTAGGATTTGGTTCACAGTGCTCAGCCATTGAGGCACTCAGGGGCGCTGCAGCCATAATATAAGAGGCCCCAGCTACCACTTGAGCTGGTGGCAGACCTTGGCATCATCCACATGGTGCTGCTTTTACAGGCATACAGAATACAAGTGTTGTGGGGTCTAGGAAGCTTCCATCCAGATTTTGAGTGTGCCTGAGAGGGCAGTGCATGAAGCTGAAGAGTGAAGCTGGTGGTGCAGTGGAGACTCCAGGAAGTTACAGATGCCAGGAATGTGGAATATCAGCTAAGGAATGCTACAGTGGAGCAAAGCTACCCTGAGAGAAGCCCTTGGGGTTCAAATGGCAAAACTTCAGGGGTGGGGCCACCCAAGCAATTTGGTTTCCATCTCGCCACAACTTGGCGCAAGTATTGGACATGGAGCTACAGCATTTAATGCTGGGTTTCAGTCTTGCTTTGGTCCCACTCCTTTTTTTCTTCTCTATTCATCCTTTTTGGAATGGGAATGTTCATTCCATAGTATTGTATGTTGGAAGTATTTAACTTTGATTTTTACAGGTGCTCACAGCTAAGAGTTCACTTTGAGTCTTAGAGGAGACTTTGGACTTGAACTTTTCAGCAATGCTGAAACTGTTAAAAACGTTGGCAACTCTTAAAACACCACCCATGCCCTTCATCCTTGGAGCTAGTCAATTATGGACTAAAATGTGTGAGCCAAAATAAACCTCTCCTCCTTTAAGTTGTAGGTGTTAGGTATTGTGTCCCAATGACGAGAAAGTGATTAAGACAGGGGGTTGTTGCAGATTCCCATTTCCAGCTTGTCTGTTCAGGCCCCGTTGATGATGTGAGGACAATTTCACCAACTCAAGTTCTCCTTTTCCTGACAGGCAGCAGCTTCTGAGTTGTGTCAGCTTGCCAGCTAACTGAAGGTCAAAGAAAAAGAAAGTTTTAAATAAGATTGTATGTCCTCAGTGGGTAGGGGTGTAGCTCAGTAGTAGAGTGCTTGCCTAGCAAATGCAAGGTTTATAACCAGCACTGGTCCCCCAAAACCCATTTTCTTTTACTATAATCATTGTTCACTAAGCAGTGAACATTTTTGACTTCCCCTTTTTATTGTAAACATACAGAAAAATGCATAAAGCATAGGGGTTCAATCGATTAACTGTCAGCTGCTATTTTGTATAAGTGTAGGATGTTCACTCTCATTGCTGTGGTTCTTCACTATGAACAGACCACGTTTTAATGGGGGTGCTACAAAGAGTGCTGCTATTCTACTTCTTTCTTTTTCTGCACTGCTGAAGATCTACCCTTGGGCCTCACACATGCTAGGCACACAGCCCACTACTGAGTGACATCTGACATTCCTCTAGTACTCATTTCTTAGGAATGGAATTGGTATATGTGCAGCTTTAGTAGAAAATACCGGCGAGTGGTGGTGGCACACACCTGTAATCCCAGCACTCAGAAGGCTGAGGCAGGAGTATCACTGCCAGTTCAAGGCTGGCCTGGGCTACATAGTGAGTTCAAAGCCAACCTGAACTACATAGGAAGACTGTCACCAACCAACCAACCAAACCAACCAACAAACCTGAACAGCTTTCTATAGTGGTGGTACTATTTTATGCTTCCAGCAGCATGGACCAAAGTTGCAATTGTTACCTATTCTTCCAAATATTTAGTGTTGTTGTCGTCAATCTTTTTAGCTGGGCTGGAGCTTGTGATCCTCCTGCCTTAGCCTCCCAGAGCTGTGATTTCATTTTTTAAAAAAGGTCTCTTTTTAAGAGAAGGCTTAGTCTGAATAACCTGATACGCCACTGTCAAAAAATGGACATCCTCTAACACCTGGGGCTTACCAAATTCTGCGATGGGTCAACTGAGTCTCCGTTTCCTACCACAGCGGGCAGTTTCACCCTTGGAACTCTTCTGCGTCCTCTCTACTGTGTCAAGTCTCTGCTTAAACATTAATCCAGCGAGACCCTTGCATGACAGCCCTTCCCAAACTGCTAACAGCAATACCTACCTAGAATTCCTAACTCTCTTCATTCTGTTTTACTTTCTCTATTTTTCATATCCTATATTACTTTTACATATTACATATACAAGCATGCATCATTTAATGAAAGGGACACATTGTAGGAAAAGCATCCTTAAAATGATTTTGTCCTTGTGCAAACATCATAGAGTATACTTACACTGAGATGGCTATGACATCACTAGGTGATATATTATGGAACCACTGGTGTGTATGCAGTGCACTACTGACAAAAATGTCATTACACAATACATGACTATTGCCAAGATACATAAACATGAAATAACAAGCTATATAGTGTTTGTGCATTAATAGACTGTTTTTTTCCCTGCAGCAGTGGGGATTGAACCCAGGGCCTCACACATGCTAAGCAAGTACTCTACCACTAAAATATAAATCCAGTCCTTTTTTAAAAAAAAAACCTTCAGAAAGAATCTTGTTAAATTGGCTAGGCTGGCCTCCAACTAGCAATCCTCCTGCCTCAGCGTCCTGAGTACCTGGATTATAGGCATTGCAACACTGCACCAGCTCATAGTGGGTTTTTTGTTCACATTTTAAATTTGTTAATTTTTTTGCTCTGAGGGCCACAGCTCTCAAGTCCCAGCTCTTCTCTTGTCACTTATAGCTCCCACCCTTTCTGCCTTCTCATTTGGGTCAGGGAACAGCTCTGCTCTTGTTTTTTTGTTTGTTTTTTGGTACCAGGGATTGAACTCAGGTCCTTGCACTTGCGAGGCAGGCGGCAGAACCACTGAGCTAAATCCCTGGCCCTGTTAATTTTTTTGTACACAAATGATGGATTAAATAATGCAATACCTTAATAGTGTTTTATTTATTACTCCTTTCCCAAAATAGTAGCTCTATAAGGACTGAGCTATTTGCCTGTTTTGTTCCTTGCTCTATCTCCAACCACAGATCAAAGCCTGGCATACAGTATGTCCTCAACAGATGTTTACTGAATGCCTCAAAATGTAATATGTAAAAGCTTCAAGCAGTTCCTAGCACACAGCAACAATGTCTAGTAACTATCCATTGACTAAAATCTTATCAGCTGATGGAACATTTCAAAGGTGAATCTGAGCCAGCAGTCCCAGCTGTTTTGGAGGCTGAGATAGGGAAGAGTGCTTGAACCCAGGACTTTGAGACCAACCTGGGCAACACGGCAAGATTCATCTCAAAAAGGACAAAAAAAAGTTAAATTTTACAGAGCTTTTTCTTAGAGATGCCTTTTACTCCAACTGTGAAGGCAAACTTACTTTAATGTGTTAAGGTGTACAGTTCATTTTGTTGTCCTCTATCTATCCAAGAAAAAGAAAAGGGTCTCAGGTGTTTGGCTAAATCTTTCCGTTCATTATGCTTAAGTCAGCCCATTGATTTTTACAGCTATTGGGAGGCATGAAAGAAAGAGGGACCATGGGATTCAGGGCAGAAAGAGGCACACAAGGAAGGGGTCAATATGGGCTCAGAGCCACTTTTACAGACCTCAGGGCCCAGCAAGGTGTGGCGCTGAGGCGACCAGGGGCTGGGACAATGTATCCACTCTGCTGATGGTGCAGTCCTGGGGGCGGATCTCCTTGGCCAGCTGCCCCTTCTTCTTCAACGTGCAGGCCTCCTGGTATGGAGGCGAGATGGGGGGCTGTGTGGGAGGAGTATACTTGTACTCAGAGCCATCCTGTAACTGCAGAGACACAAGAGGCAGGAGATGGTGAGGCCCTGGGACCTAGGAGAACCTCCCCTTCCCGCTTCCTGCTGGCAGGGCACTCACGTCCAGTGGGTAACTGCAGTCTGAATCATATGCGCTCAGGTCTCCACAGGTCACAAAAGGCACAATAATGCGGGTGGGACCATCCAGTTGGTTGAAATCTGAGTCTTAGGAAAAGGCAGGGGTAAGACTGAGGACAAGACCAGTCATGACTGAGGCCACAGTGTGGATACCTGGTCCTCCCAATATATCCACCAGCCACCCTTCCCCCAGCAACCCTTCCTTCTGTTCAGATTACCTCCTTGGGAAACTCTCCACCACCCTTCTAACACTTGTGCTCTGATTTTTCTCTGCACTTGTGTCCTCTTCACATTCTATTATACACTGCCTGTACCTTCTCCCTCATGCGGCAAAAGTCTGACAATGGATGACCTTTCCACTTTGGGACATGTAGTATGACTGAGTGTCTTCCTTGGGTGTGACTGAGGGTCTTCTTAAAACAGAATTCCCTCAGTCAAGTGGAGTCTTCCCTAGGGTAGGGCTCAGGATCCTGGGACAGAATTTTCTTCAGGACCAAGAGTTACCACCAGGGAACTGGCTGGGCTGAGGCTGCCCCTGGGACTAAATAGCCACAAGACATCCAGTGCACAAGGCGGGGGGAGCATCCGAGGGATGGCCCCCAGCTCTGGCTCTCACCGTACGAGTGGTCCAGCAGAGGCTTGGTCAGGTCTGGCACAAAGCCCTCCGGAGGGTCATAACCCCGACAGACAGCGAAGGCCTCTGTGGGGGGATGTGGGTTGAGGGGTGACAGACTGCCACCTCTATTTTGTGCAGGCTGCATTCCTGGGCACCCCCTTGCCTGCCCAGCCTCCACTCTACTGACCGATGCTGGAGTTCCGGCTGCTCCTGGGTTTCGAGCAAAGCACGCTGGAGAAGAAGACTCGCAGCTGGCTGTAGAGCAGTGTCACGTCCCGGCCTCGGAATATCTGCGGGTTGGACAACATGAGGTGGAGGGGTGAGGGTGGCCCTCAGCAACCTCTCACTCTGCTCTACCAGGTTCCCCAACACTTACCTTGGCAACAAAGCAACCCCCTGGCTTCAAGACGTGGGTAGCAATGTTCAGAGCCTGTGGGCAGGAGAGATGGCTGAGGCCGAAGTGGAGACAGACAAGAGGGGACCAAAGGAGGGCAGGGGCAGCCAGGGTTACTCACAGCTAGGAGGAGCTGGGCCTGCATGTACTCATCGACATCATGGAGGCCGGTGACTGTGGCGAGAGAACAGTGTTAGAGGCCCTAACGGGTTCTGTGGATCTTCTCGTACCAGAGAGATCAGACAGCCAAAATAACAGTTCTCAGGCTCTTACTAAGGCTCTGGGTGCAAATTACTATCTGCCAATTGGACACTCCCAATCCTTAGGAAAGAAGTCATTTTAATTCTAAAACAACCTCACACACAAGCAACATTAAGGTCTCTACTTGCAGCCTGACAGTTCCTCTGAGCTCGGTTCACAGATCAGACTCCACAGCTCCAACAAGTCCAAATCCAAACTGCTGGACCCCTGTTCAAACCCGTTCCTTTCCCCTCTCACCTGGGCCATCCAGGGATTCTGGCCCAAACTTCAGTTCCCCTTGACACCCTTCTCCTATCTTTTCCCCTATGTTCCAGACATTAGCAAATCCTAGTAGCTCTGCTTTCTAAAGGAAAGTCCTAAATCAACTGCCCCCTTGCCAGCATTCCTCACTCACCTGACCTCTGCAGTGGGCCCCCCAACCCCTCTTTCTGGCCCTGCCTCTCACACTGCTCAAACAGCCTGAAGGAGGCATCCTGCCATGACCCAAGCCATGTACAATCCTCTGCCCACAATCTTCTCGTGGTTTGGTCCAATCATCTTAGAAAAAAAAGGCAACATCCTCACCATGGCCCACCAGCATCTATCCCACCCCCCCCCCTTTGCCCATTGGGGACTGATCCCAGGGACTTTGCACTGAGCTACATTCTCAGTGTTTATGTTTCTGTTGCCCAGGCTTAAATTGTGATCTTCCTGCCTCAGCCTCCAGAGTAGCTGGGATTACAGGCATGTATCACATGCCTGGCCTGATATTATCACTTTTTTTTTTGGTACCAGGGATCGAACTCAGGACCTTGCGCTTTAGAGACAGGCACCACTGAGCTAAATCCCCAGCCTTATCACTTTTTAACATCACTTAGCTCAACTGTTTATTTTCTTTGTTTTTTTTGAGACATGGTTTTGCTATGTAATTCAGGCTGGCCTTAAACTATGTAGCCCAAGCTGGCCTCAACATCACAGTGATCCTCCTGCCTCAGCCTCCAGATTGCTGGGATTATAGGCATGCACCACTGAGCCTGGCTCAACTGTTTGTTTTCTTTTCCATTGGCTCCCACTGGAACATCAGCTTCAAGAGGTAAAAGAGGAGAATTCTATACACCAATGCTTTCCCAACAAAACAAGTGCCCAGCAAAAACTTTTTTTTTCTGATTCTGGGGATTGAACTCAAGAGTTTCTGCACTGAGCTCTATTTTTTTGCTTTTTTTTTTTTGTACCAAGAATCGAACTCAAGACCTTGCGCTTGTGAGGCAGGTGGCGGGACCACTATACCACTGAGCTAAATCCCCTGCAAGTTGTTGTTGTTTTTTTTCCATTACCAGGGATCGAATTAGGACCTCGCTCGAGGTGTAACTGAGCTAAATCCTCGGTGTGACTATTTTTTGAGCCAGGGTCTTGGTAAGTTGCCCAGCTGGGCTTGAACTTATAATCCTGATTCAGCCTCCTGGAATGCTGGAGTAAATGTGTTATGAATAGAGGAGTAACTAAAACATATGAAGAGTAAGAGGGATTGAATTGGTGCAGAGATGAGAAGAGGGAAGGGTGGACAAGAACAAAACTGAAAAGGAAGGCTGGGAGTGTAGCTCAAGGGTAGAACACTTGCCTAGCAAGTGTGAGGTCCTGGGTTGATCCCTAGCAGCAGGAAAAATAAACCTAAAAGTGGGTGAGGATAGGGAAGAAGGCAGAGGCACAAAGCAGGGAGTTAAAGAAGTTAGGTTTATGTGTGTGTGTGTGTGTGTGTGTGTGTGTGTGTGTGTAGCTGAGATCAGAGGAAAGAGACAGAAAGTCAACCAAGGTGAGAGACGCATGTCACCTCCCCCTGCCCAATTCATTTACCATCAGGAGCCCCGTCACACACCACTAGGTCTGCATGGCAGCCCTCAAAGTGCTGGATGATTTCCTTGGCAGTGGAAAGCTAGAGAGAGAGAGAGAGAGAGAAAGGACGAACGACCTAGTGCCCCCCCCCCCCCACTGCCCATGAGTCCAACCAGCCCTGGCAGCCCCAGGTCAGTCAAGTCCTCAGGCTTTGTTGGTCTAAGAGTGGGTTTCATCTGGGACCTGGCTTCATCACTTTTTGTGGTCTGTGAGATGACTTGTTGGCTCCTTTCTGTGCTGCTAGTCTTTTTTGGGGGGAGGGGGTTGAGACAGGGTCTTACTATGTAACCCAGGCTGGGCTAGAACTCACAATGATCCTCCTTAATGCTGGGATTACAGGCATGTGCCACCACGCCCAGGTACATCAGTCTCTGATTCTCTGTCTGCGATGCTGGGCCTCTTACAGACCAAGGAGGCACACTACCACTGAGCCACACTTGACTTCTCTGTTTCTCCGATAAGCTTTCTCTTCTTCTTCACCCACCATATACCCCAACACCCTCTCACCTGAGTGATGTCTCCTTGGATCTGTACCACACCTGGTAGGGGAGCCATAGCCTGCAAATCCACAGCTACCACATGGCTGGGCCCCTGGCCCCTGTGGACAATGTGGCCCATGTCAGCCCAGTTTTCATTCATGGCCCCTCCCTCGACCCTCCTCCCAGCCCCCCACTCACCGAATCTTCTGACTCAGCACCTGGCTCCAGCTGCCTGGGGCTGCACACAGGTCAACTGCCCGTGTTACACCTGAGCACACACAGGGACAGTGTACTAGTCAGGTGGACCCACCTCTGCAGCTCCTCAACCCTCTCCACTGGGGAGCACCCAGGCCACTGCCCAGGTGCCCAGTCATCTCACTGTCTCCCTGTCCCAGAGGCCCTCCAAGTCAGCCCACCCTCCACCAGGAGCTCTGCAGACCCAGCCCACTTGTCTGTCTCCTGAGCCCACCCCTACTTCTGGGTGTCTGGCCTGCCTCAAGGACCTTGGAAGAGCTGGAATTCCTCATCAAGTTGTAGCAGCTTGAAGGCACTGCGGGCCCGCCAGCCATTCTCCTTGGCCAGACGGTAGTAGACATCCCGCTTATCCTTTGACGTCCGTCCCATCTCAGTTTGCTCACCTGCCAATAGCTGATGCCACCTGTATCAGTAACAAGGTGAATGGGCCACCAATTACCTATGTAGGGCCGAGAGAATCATGTACACCCCAAACCGAGCTAACATGACCAATACAACAGCTCACAGGAAGACTAAAGCCAGGCACTGACCCCATTGACCTCACAGGGCCCAAGGGCTCTGTCACTGAGTTCTTAGACTCCATCAGTTGCCTCCCAGACCCCACAGCCTCAATGCTTATTTGATAAATGAACCATTACTGACCCTGTTTACCACCTGTCACCGTCACCAACATTCCACTTTGTAACCTGACTCAACCCTTTGCCTACTTCACCTCCTTTACCACCTCACTATCTCCCCTGTTGTCCCTACATTCACAGAGCCCCATTAACCCTTGCCTTTCAGTTCCATTACCCTAATACTACCTCACTATACCTCCTACTCCCTTAATCCGTTTACCCTATCCTGTACTTCACTAATCCCTTGAATGATTAGGCCCTCTGTAGTTCCTTTATTAACACCATCTTTAACCATTATTAATGTCTAGAGCAGTGATGGCGAACTTTTTAGAGCTTTCAATGATACAAACACACTGTGGCACGCGTGCCATAGGTTCACCACCACTGGTCTAGAGGATCATGGCCTATTAGCTCCCTGTTATGTTCTCAGTTACTTTGCAGCCCTCCACTTCACACTACTTGTCCCCAGTAGCTTGTCATTAATGTGGTCCAGTTACTCCCTGATGCTCACGCATCAGCTCCCCGCTCTCCCCCTGCTGCCCACCAGCCCTCCACTCATCACTTAGTGGCCACGTCCCAACATCTTACTATTACTTTTTTCTCTCTCTGTCCCCACTAACTCCTTCTCCTACAACATCCCATCAGCCTCTATCTCTTCTTTCATCACTGCCCTAATTAGTCCCTTGATCATGACTCCTACCTGTCTCTATTATTCCCTCCAGACCCTCATCATTACTGTTTTCATTACTACACCCCCCACCCACTCCCCACTATATTAACCCCTTTCACTAATCAATTAACCAACGCACCTACCGGCCCTCGACACTCCTATCAGTCCTCAAAGACACCTTCTAGACTTCTACAACCCTTGCAGTCCACCCAACCTCCCACTAGCTCCCTGGCCACACTCCCAATGCGTCTTCATCGCCTCAAAGACTGTAGCCCCACTGGGACCAGGACCACCAGATTCCGCTCCAAGAGTTGCCACATGCCTCACTCCCTCGATCTCTCCCCGCATTCTAGTCCCTCGTGTAGATAAACTTTGGGTCTGCAGCCCACCTGGTACTAGGCACCCGGACTATGCGGTTGCAGCACCAAGGACCGACCTCCCTCTAACCCTGCCGGGGGGTACAGCGCAGATGTGCCTTCAGTCTCGGCCAGAATTCACATCCTACGTGCCCGAGGGCCTACCTTAGCTCTCGGAACAAAGAGGAAGGAGGCCGGTCCGCCAGCAGCCCCAGCCTCCGCAAGCGCGTCAACCTGCAAGAAATGGTAGGGCTACTCGGATGCCTGCCACACATGCCTAATGCTTACCGCAGCGGTGCAAACTTGGCATAGCAGAGCCGCAGAGCACCCGTAGGGGACCCAAACGTACCACGTGGATCCCGTCATGCAGTGTCGACGCTTCCGGGTCCTGGGAACGGCCGCTCCCAGCATGCAACGAGAACGACCAAGGGCGGAACCCACGTACTACAGAGCCTAACGTCGCGACTCAGGACAGAAGCTTTGTTCTTTTGTTCGGAGGCCAAGTTCGGTTTACTCCTCCGACCCTCCCTTTTTGGAACTGGGGGTGGAGGTGGTGGTGGTGGTGGGGTCACTGAATCAACGGACTACATTTCCCAAGATGCAGCGGCACAATTTGGCCCACTCCTTTTACTCTTGGCGCGAAGCGAAATTTCCGTTGAGGGCGTGAATAGCCAAAAGAGTGTTGATAAAGTGCGCCAGCGCGGGAAAGCTACTCTGATGCAATTTCAGATCCCGCTTTCACTAGTTGGTAGCACTGCATTTAATTTTGATCTCTCAGAATTTTGTTTTCTTCATGGGGAAATGGGGATGATCAGTGATGCAGAATGTACAGCGTTAGTGAAGATTTAAAAGGTGTCGTTTAGGACACTATCCCAACCTTTCTTTTTTGTTTTTGGTTTTTTTTTTATTTTTTTGAGACAAGGTCTCACTATGTAGTTCAGGCTGGCCTTGAACTCACGCCGATCCTCCTGCTTCAGCCTCCCCCAGTGCTGGGATTAAGGCACTGCTACCACATCGTTTTGTCTTATCTTTTTTTACCTACCATCCACCAAAAACTATATACATTGTGACCCAGTGCACAAGACGTAATATAATAATGGGACATTTATTATAGCTTTTACCATGTGCTAGGCACGGCACTAAATTCTCAGTGCTGGGCTGGTAAATGATTAACCGGCTTTGGTCAACTTAGGGACTGGTTTCTAACATTTGCCAGTTTCCATGGTTTACACAATCTCATCTGGTCAGATTTCAGTTTACTTGTGTATAGTCTCTGAACGTGAGATGCACTGGTATATTATATACTATTCATACTACACAGATAAAATAAGGTAAGGGTAAATGACCTCAAGAGCATAGGGAATGAGTGAAATGCAATAAAGTAATTGGGAACTGATGAATTTTGAGTATTACCTTTAAAAGTTTAATTCACTTACTGTAAGCCTATAGTTTTGTTTTATTTTGAGACAGGATCTTGAACTCACTATGTAGCACGGGCTGGCCTTGAACTCACTGTGATCCTCCTGCCTCAGCCTCCCCAGTCCTGGCATTACGGGTGGGAGCTACTATGCCTGGATAGCATTTCATTTTTAACAATAGTTTTTCAGCCAATTCACAAAATTACTGAAAATTGAACAAGTGATCCCTGCAAACCTCTACAAGTTGTTTCTGGTGCACCATAGAATTCTTTCATTTGTTCCCTCATTTCAGTCTTCACAACACCCATATGAGTTACTGTAATTATTCCCAGTTTACAGTGGAGGAAACTGAGGTAAGGGAGGGTTATGTTACAGTAAGTATATAAACATGCTGTTTGGACTGTGTATGTAGCTCAGTGATAGAGTGCTTGCCTAGCATGCATGAGGCCCTATGTTCAACCCCCAGCATAATACAAAAGCTATTTAACATGATATGTATATGATTATATAAAAATATAGTGATGTATAATATTTACTGTACAGGCTGGGCTTGGTGGTACATGCCTATAATCTCAGCTACTCTGGAGGCTGAGTCAGGAGGATCATAAATTCAGGCCAGCCTGGGCAATTTAGTGAGATATTGTCTCAAAGTAAAAAATGAAAAGTCAGGGCCAGGGATTTAGCTCAGTGGTCTGCAAAAAAAAAAAAAAAAAAGAAAAGAAAAGTCCTGGGGATGTAGTTCAGCAGTAGAGCATTTACCTAGCATGTATAAGGTCCTGAGTTCAAACCCTAGTACTAAAAAAATTAGTACAAAAATTACCTTCCAGTAGACAATAAAAATGCTGTTATATGTAAATATCAAGATATAAATAATGATATACATTTTGCATATTGTGTACATATATAAATGAATATGTCAATATAAATAAATATCCTAGGTAGGATCTATACATTTACTTGCTAAATTAGCTATAAGAAATACAGATATAGCAGAAATGGTGGTAGGCACTCTGGGAGGCTGAGGCAGGAGGATTGTAAATTCAAGGCCAGCCTGGGCAATTTAGCAAGACCCTGTCTCAAAATGAAAAATAATAATAAAAAAAGAATCTCCAGTACTGCTAAATAAATAAATAAATAAATACTATTAAGTCAATAGATAAGGTTTTGTCAGGTGGTGATAAAAGCTCTGAAGAATGATAAAATATACTGAGAAAAGCTGGACATGGTAGTGCATACCTGTAATCCTAGTACTCAAGAGGCTGAGTCAGAAGGATGGCTGCAAGTCTGGGCTACATAGTGAGTTCAAGGCCAGCCTGCATAGCATGACTCTGTCTCAAAAAAAAAAAAAGTATGGTGGGCCGGAGATTTAGCTCAGTGGTTCCACCGCCTGCCTCACAAGAAAAGGTCCTGAGTTTGATCCCTGGTACCAAAAAAAAATAATAATAATAATGGCCAGTGCAGGTGTGAGGCAATATGGGGCTGGGGATTTAGCTCAGTGGTTTTGCCACCTGCTGCACAAGTACAAGGACCCGAGTTCGATCTTTGGTACCAAAAAAAAAAAAAGTATGGTGAAAGGAATGGAAATTTTCTGTTGTTTTCATTTTTTCTTTTCTTTCTTTCTTTCTTTCTTTCTTTCTTTCTTTCTTTCTTTCTTTCTTTCTTTAGGGGGGAGGGGTTTATTTAGCTCACAGTTCATAGAGGTTTCAGTCCATAATCAGTTGGCTCCAAGGCAGGGTGGCACATGGCAGAGGGGCACTTTTATTTATTTTTAAATTTTTATTTACTTTTTGGTACTGGGGATTGAACTCGGGACCTTGTGCTTGCAAGGCAGGCACTGGAACCACTGAGCTAAATCCCTGGCCCGCTTTTATTTATTTTTTGAGACAGGGTCTCGCTATGTAGTTCAGGCTGGCCTTGTACTCACTACGTAGCCCAGGCTGGCCTCGAACTTGTAGCAATCCCCCTGCCTCAGCCTCTAGAGTGCTGGGATTAAAGGTGTGCCCCAACATGCCTAGATTTTTTTTTCTTTTTTTTTTTTTTTTTGTTTGTTTCTTTTGGTACTGGGGATCCAATTCGGGTCTTTGCGCTCGTGAGGCAGGCTGCGGAGCCACTGAGCTAAATCCCCGGACCTTCTTTCTTATTTTTAAATGAAATCTTGCTCTGCTGCCCAATCTGGCTTCACACTCCTGGGCTCAATCGATCCTCCTGCCTCAGCCTCCTGAGCAGCTGGAACTACAGGGGCATGGTACTGCACTCGCTGAGTTGTTTTTTGATGGCATGGTCAGGGAAGTCTTCTCTGAGGAGATGACATTTGAGTGGAGACCCAAAGGGGAGTGCACCCCTGGAATATTTGGAGGAAGTGAATTTCAGGAAGAGGGAACACCAAACAACACATAGACTTGAATAGGAACAAGTTCAGTGAGTATTGAAGGAACTGTACTGGGGATTGAAGCTCGGGCCTTTGGACTGAGTTACATCATTAGCCATTAAAAAATTTTTTTTTAAAATTTGAAGCAGGGTCTTGCTAAGTCACTAAGTTGCCCAGGCTCAAACTGGCAGTCATCCTGCTTCAGCCTCCCAGAATGCTGGGATTACCAAACCTGACTAATTCTTCATGCCTTTGAAGGTGAGTTTCACTAGGCAAAGGTTCCTGGTGTCATATTCAATGCTGCCTCCCAGTACCTAGAGCAGGGCACAGTGCACAGTTTTGGTTTTTTTTTTTTTTGGTACCGGGATTGAACTCAGGTCCTTGCACTTGTGCAGCAGGCAGCGAAACCACTGAGCTAAATCCCTGGCCCAAAGAATTTTAACAGCTTTTTTTTTTTTGGTACCGGGGATCGAACTTGGGTCCTTGCGATTGCAAAGCAGGCGACAAAACCACTGAGCTAAATCCCTGACCCCACAGTGCACAGTTTATCTGCAATAAATTGTTACTGATACTATTACAGACAGCTAAATTAGGTAGAAATATTGTAGGCAATCAGGGCTAGGCCCTCAAGAGTCAGTGCAGAGGATGAAAACATATTACAACTGTGACTGGATGTGCATCAGTTGGAGGCCAGGCCTCAACGTAAGGATGAAATGACCTGGCAGGCCTGCATACTTTTCCCAGGGATGAGATAAGTGGTAACACCTGGCCTAATGAAGTGTAGATAGATATCAATCACCTTGGTAGGTGACCAAGACCCCTGGACCCATCTCTTCCTGAGAAGTTCTTTGTTTTTTCCATGTACATTTGCTACATGACTTGCTCCCCCACTGGATCACTATTACCTAAGCAACTATACTTGTAACCTTATTAATTGATCATACCTTTAACCCATGTGGTTGTGCTTTGTAAAACTTCCCCTGAAAAGTGGGGTCCCTAGCCACCCATTTGGAACCCCTCCTGCCTCTCAGGAGCTTAAATCTCTCTCTCAATAAATATTTCCTACTATTAACTTCCATTGTTCCTTAGAACTCATTTTTTGATTTTGGGGAACTCGATATCGGCATTTCTGACATCTAACAGATTGGAAGTTATAATATTTTCCCTATATCATTTGGAGGTCCAATATCATTTCTATAGCAATACCACAATACCACACTTTTGTGGCATTGTTCCTTCATTTTTTCCTGAGTGGTGCATTTTACACCATTTGGCAGGGCCCTGGGAGGAGGTGTAGTTAAAGATGCAGAGATTCTTGAAGAGGTCCCTGAGAGCCAGGGAAGAAGTGATTGCTTGGTGTGTATCTCAGTAATACACTTGCCTGGCCTGCCCAAGGCCGTGGGTTTCAGCTCCAGCACCACACAAAAGCAAAGAGCCAGTTTTGTCAACAAAACTCAAGGGCCTCGTGAAGCAGTGGGAGCCTAGCTCCCTGTAGAGGTGAGCGAGTGTGAGAAAGGAAGGGTTCAAGTCACCAGCTTGCTGCTCCACAGGCGAGGAATGGGCCCATGTTCACTCTGGGGGACGCTTCCCATGTCCTGTTTTCTTTCGGCATACAAAGAGGATGTTTAATTTTTGGCAAAGAAACTTG